AACCCAAAAAAAGGGGGGGAGAAAAAGCCGTGCGGCCCCCCCCCCGCCCCCCCCCCCCCCCCCGCCCCATGCTTCTTATTGTTCTTTGCAGTTTCTTTTCCAAAGAGCTTGGGTTGGGGGATGGTGCATTTCCCTTGGAGCCGCCCCACGTGGCTCCGAGTGGGCACCGGCAGGGGTCCCCCGGGGCCAAGGAGGGGCCAGGTCTGCAGGAGCGGTCCTCCTCACCCCCAAAGCGCTTTTTCTTCCCAGTTTGGTTTCTCCAGCCGGGATGGGGTTCGTCTTATGGAGGACGCTGAAGTGAGTCTCTCTTTAGTCCCCAAGTGGAATGAGTGTGGTTCCCTGGGAACGCAGCTTGGAGGCAGTTTCAGATGGTCCCGGACAGGAGAGGCGAGCAAAGAAATTCAGTCATCCGGAAAGCAGAATTGGAAAGCCAGTGTAGCCGAACCTATTATTTCCCTACAAGGTGGCGTGAGTCGGGAGGATGCAGTGGGAAAGAATCCTGATGGTGTGTGCGTTACAACAAATGACTTTTTTCCCCCGTTTCGGTGCCAGGATCGGGGGAGGGGAGAAAGGGGTGGTTCTGTCTGCTTTCGCTCGCATTCTCTGCTTCTCTAGCTGCTCAGAGCGCAAAGGGGGAAATGCCAACTTGGACTACTGAGAACACCGAGTGAAAGGCCAGGCCTCCCTGAGCACCCGGACAGGCGCCGGCTTCGCGCTCCAGCCTGGAGAGGTGTCAACTGCGTGAGAGATGCTCGGCCTCCCGGGATCCAAATCGGAGAAGAAGTCAGAGATAGAGGGGGTAAAGGAGGAGGATCCTTGAAACATCTGCGCCTCCAGGGTCCCATTCCTTCTCCTCAGCCCTGCATCTCACCGAACTGACCCGGGCCAGTCTTCAGATGTCCGAGCAGCTTTTGGATCGCAGAGCTTCAGCGGTGGTTAGCTCATCGACAATTCTCTTTTTACTTAGTTATCTTTGCCTTTTACTTTTCAAGGCCGTAACTATATAAGCATTCGGTTTTCTGCATAGTCAGTTTCTTACAAAAGTTATATATTTCTTAGGAAATAAAAGAACCCGGGATCCACAGTTCTTCCCAATGGAAACATACTTTTAAGGCTCGATTTTGGGGGCAGCTCTTTAGATTCGTGTTACCTGGGAGACTCTCTTCTTACTGCACATGGAAGTTCAGCCATGCAAAAAATCAAGAGGCGACATGTTAAAAGTTATTTCCAAAGGACACATCTCCGAAGGT